CAAGTGCGACGAAACTTTATTCCTGGTGATGTATAGGTAGTCCTTACTGGAGGGATTTTTGGGAAGATCCGGGCAAGGCTCCTTGAAGGGTAGGGCTTCGGTTTTGCGGTGTAAGGAGCTTTTACCGAGATTTAGCGAAGATTTTTCGTCGTTTAGGGCTTGGGGTGGAGGGGTTAAGGAGTGTCTGTAAGCTCCCTTGAGAAGGATCTATAATGAGGCTTCAAAAATCTACAAAGATCTATGACTGAGCCCTCTGCGCTTCAGCTGAAAGCGCAGCTTCCAGGCCTGAAACATCTGAGGTACGCCGGGCCAAAAGCCTGCAAGTGCACGAAGTCGACGCCTGATCTGCCAGGTAAAACCCGAAGGGTCCAAAAGACCCAATAATAAGATATTTAGGTTTCGGATAGTAGTTATATAAGNNTTACTATTTGGGAGAGTATATGATTCGATTATATGGTCATTGGGTACTTGGACCCTTGGTAAAAATCGAGTTAGCCGGGGCATCTGGACGCTGCCACTGGCGGAACACTCATTCCGTCCCCTGCCGAAGAGTCCCCCGCTGAAGGGATCCCAGAATCGGAATGATGAAGGATGGGTGAGTCCTTGCGTTTGGAAGGGAGGTGTTGCGCACCGAGACAGAGATCGGCGACCGCTGCTTGGAAGTGTCATCAGGTGATCGCATTGCACCCCCGGCAAGGCAGCAAAAACTGCGGTGATCCCCTTGCCATGGAAAGCCACCTGCTTGGCCTGAGGGGGTTATGAAGGAAAGCGCCATTTTCGGCAGGGACAAGTGCGAGAATTCCCGAGAGTTGGGTTTTTGATCTTTTCTTCTGCCCTTCTCAAGTCAGTTCAAGTCACTCCATTCTCCCATACCTTAAACCCGAGCCTCCTTCCACAGCCCAGCAGGAGCTTTTTAGAAGGACAGCTGGGGCGTACTGTCAATGTTCAAGTTGTCTCTGCGGCTGGTGAACGGATGCCACGAGTGCACTTGGCTGTGTAATCCCACGAATTACTTTTACCTGTTGCACTGAGTCTATAGAGCTTGCAACAGATCTTGCCCCATTGGTGAGGATTCCATTGCCTACGGTGCCGCGGTCAGTGCCTGTGGCAAAGGCTGGCATGTGAAGCTGCAACCATGCTAAACCCTAAACCCAGTACTCTAGTTGCAAACGCCTTAGTAGTTGTGGTTAGGGTGGTGGTGGTAGTCGTCGCGGTCGTCGTCGTCTTTGTCGTAGTAGTAGT